AGAGAAACTCCATTCCTAAAAAACCCTTATGCTCACACGCCAGGATACATGCATGTACGAAGAAGTTCCCAGCAGCATTAACTGTGACAGCCCCAAAGTGGGAACGAGCCACCTATCTGCCAACTGAATGAATGAACTGGATGCTTTGGAGTGTCAAATGACAAAACAATGCAAGCCATGATTCCACTCACTGACACAAGAATTACAATGACCGCCAGCTCACAGCAGAGGGCACAGGACATAGGACATGTGCACAGGCGCTAGCCAGAGGGGGGCAGGGATGCCTGCTGAGCAGCCAGGATGAGCAAAGGCTCAGCAACGCCTGGCAGAGCTTTCATCTTGACCTGGGTGTTGGTTACACATTATGGCTGCTTTATAATTATTTGCAAACAACACATATATACTTTTTCTAGTTTTGGGTATGCACACTGTGTATCAAAAGAAATATAGTTTTAAAAAATTAGGATGATGACTAAACTTGACATTTGGGTTGATTGTGACAAATGCAATTCACATGTCCCTTCAACTAGATAGACCTAAGAAATACTGACCAGTAACGCCCCTGGACTCCTCCAAATTCTGTGGGCTCCAGTGTTGCCAAGAACGGGCAGCTATTCCCAGCTCGGGGCCTGACTGATTGTGCACTGGAAACTTACACTGTCATTTTCTTCTTGAAAACTCATTAGGGTTGTCTGGTGCATCCTAAGTACAACCAGAGGAAACACGTGAATATGAGATTTTTAAAATACTTCATAGTTGTAACTGATTTGTACTGTATGACATTTGGATGTACCTGATTACTAGGGCTACCTTTAGAATAAGCAGCCAGATCTAGGGGTAAACGTATATTTAGAAGAAAACAGATAACAGGAGAGTCAAGTAGAGACTATAATTAAAGACTGTCATCTGGAGATAAGTGGGAGATGGTAAAAGTAGAAACAGTTTCAAAACATTAGAGATGTATGTCTAACACAGTTTCCCCTGACCCGCTAACACAGATGGTGCAGGACTTCCCTTCTATTCAGTTTTCTCTGAGGTTTTCTGTGCTACTGCTGCTTTCCACTGGTGTAGAAAGCAAAATAATTCAATTTATTACATTTAAAATAAGTTTCTCTGTTGATTGACAACTACCTAAAGACACTCCAAGAAGGTAAAAAGAACACTTGATTTCTTTCAACTTGTTACTCCGTTAATCTGGAAAGTTAAAATAATTTGACCGCTTCCTAATAATAGCATTAACTATGAAAGAAGTTCATTTTTAGTTTTCATTGAAACTTACTGAAAGCACTAATACAAAATAATTTCTACTATCCTGAGTTTTGTTTTAAAAATTGCACCTGAATATCAAAACTCGCAACTTTCTCTATCTTTACATGCTGTTTCAAAATATTCTATAGTACCAAAGACACATTTTGTTTAGTTGTAGAATGCTACGTGATCAAATGGTAAACTGAAAAGAAACTGTACTTATTAGCTAACTAGAGAAAACTTTTAACAAATGGTTAGGGTAGATTGACTGATTATTCAAAATTATCCTCAAGTATTCACATAAATGTTGTCACTTTCATCAGTTCTGTTCAGTCGCTCAGTCATGTCCAACTCTTTGCAACCCCATGGATTAAAGCATGCCAGGCCTCCCTGTTCATTACCAACTCCCAGAGCCTGCTCAAACTCATGTCCATCGAGTCCGTGATGCCATCCAACCATCTCATCCTCTGTCGTCCCCTTCTCTGGCCTTCAATCCGTAGGGTCTTTTCCAACGAGTCAGTTCTTCATATCAGGTGGCCAAAGTATTGGAGTTTCAGCTTCAGCATCAGTCCTTCCAATGAATATTCAGGACTGATTTCCTTTAGGACAGACTGGTTGGATCTCCTTGCAGTCCAAGGGACTCTCAAGAATCTTCTCCAACACCACAGTTCAAAAGCATCAATTCTTTAGCACAGCTTTTATGTTCCAACTCTCACATCCATACATGACTACTGGAAAAACCACAGCTGTGACTAGATGGACCTTTGTCGGCAAAGTAATGTCTCTGCTTTTTAATATGCTGTCTAGATTTGTCACAGCTTTTCTTCCAAGGAGCAAGCATCTTTTAATTTCATGACTGCAGTCACCATCTGCAGTGATTTTGGAGCCCAAGAAAATAAAGTCTGTTACTGTTTCCATTGTTTCCCTACTATTTGCCATAAAGTGATGGGACCAAATGTCAAGATCTTAGTTTTTTGAATGTTGAGTTTTAAGTCAGCTTTTTCACTCTCTTCTTTCACTTCATAGTGTAGGTTTATTGCCCGATCTTGCTGTTTAATAAAAATCATTCTTTTAACTGCTTTTCTTAAAATTTTTCCCTCTTCATTATTCCAGTCTATTGAGTAATAACACCATTACTTCAAATACTTAGTAACATATTTGCCAGCAGTAGTTTGATAGAATAAATTATGTATAGTGAAAAATAATAAGTAATTAGCAACAAGATAATAAAAGATCAAAGTAGCTCTCACTTGCATGTCATAATGGTGCTAAGAGATAGCTCCTCCATGGGATAGCACTTCATTAGAAACTTACGGGTAGCCACATAACCATGTAAGAGTTAAGGTAAACTTAACAAAACAGTAAAGGGAGGCAGTTTAATATATTTCCTCCGGTTTTACTTTTCTAAGGAGGTCTTTAGTGGGAAGATTATAGAAGCAGTAGCTAAAAGGTCCCCAAACACCTCACCATACCATATCTGGCCCATGCTGACTCTCTTCTGCCTTCAACCCATGCACCCATTGCTCCAGTCACATGGAACTATTACATGGTAGAAATAGTCATAACTGCCATATGTTGTTTTTTATGTTAACACAAACTCACAGATGCCATTTCCTCAGCTTGAATCACCTTTCTTTTCTACACTTAGTCAACAACTCTTACTGGGCTTTAAATCCATTAAAGCATTAACTTCTTTAGGAAACTTTTTTTACTCCTTTCCTTCTACTTTCCTCTACTTGTATGCCTTCATAGCATTTTTTTCATGTATTACTCTATAAATATTTATTTTCTTATGTATATTGTTCACTAGTCTGCAAGATTCTTAAGGGTAAAGACATACTATGCTCAAATGTATTCTCTCTCAGCTCTTAAAATTATATAGGCCTCAATAATGATTATTGAGTGTTTCTGAAATTATTTCAAGCTCAAGTAAAAGTCATAATGATATGTATCAGATCTGGGTTTTATGGACTCCTTATACAATAGACATGTGGTACTTTATCATTCCTTAATGTGTATTAGAATGTACAATAATGATATATTTTTTTTGGAGATATATTGCCTTTTAAATAATTGAGGGGAAAAGTCTATGTAACAGGATGCTTTACTCTGATTTTTACAGCAAGCAAGAGAAATATAATACACAACTAGCGCATTTTTATGTCATGGTTCTATTATTCATAAGTGCTCAATAGAAACTGAACAACTCAGAAACAGCCCTAAGCAAAAAGACAGCATACCACCTGTACGTCTGTGGGTGTACATGTAAGAGTTTCAGGGCTATTTATTAAGATTTTAACTTGAATTTTGTTCTCCACTTATTTCTCTCTTCCCCATTCTAAAGAGATAACCAGGTCTTCCAGCCACAGGACTGGAAATGTCAGTTTTCATTCTAATCCCAAAGAAAGGCAATGCCAAAGAATGTTCAAACTACTGCACAATTACACTCTCTCACACACTAGCAAAGTGATGTTCAAAATTCTCCAAGCCAGGCTTCATCAGTATGTGAACCGTGAACTTCCAGATGTTCAAGCTGGATTTAGAAAAGGCAGAGAAACCAGAGATCAAATTGCCAACATCCACTGGATCATCGAAGAAGCAAGAGAGTTCCAAAAAAACATCTACTTCTGCTTTATTAACTATCCCAAAGTCTTTGACTGTGTGGATCACAACAAACTGCAGAAAATTCTTGAAGAGATGTGAATACCAGACCACCTTACCTGCCTCCTGAGAAATCTGTATTCAGGTCAAGAAGCAACAGTTAGAACTGGACATGGAACAACAGACTGGTTCCAAATGGGGAAAGGAGTATGTCAAGGCTGTATATTGTCACTTTGCTTATTTAACTTATATGCAGAGTATTTCATGTGAAATGCTAAGCTGGATGAAGCACAAACTGGAATCAAGATTGCCAGGAGAAATATCAATAATCTCAGGTACACAGATGACACCATCCTTATGGCAGAAACTGAAGAAGAACTAAAGAGCCTCTTGATGAAAGTGAAAGAGGAGAGTGAAAAAGCTGGCTTGAAACTCAACATTCAAAAAACTAAGATCATAACATCTGGTCCCATCACTTCATGGCAAATAGATGGGGAAACAATGGAAACAGTGGCAGACTTTATTTTTTGGGGCTCCCAAATCACTGAAGATGGTGACTGCAGCGATGAAATTAAAAGACACTTGCTCCTTGGAAGAAAAGCTATGACCAACCTAGACAGCATATTAAAAAGCAGAGACGTTACTTTGCCAGCAAAGGTCCGTCTAGTCACAGCTACTAGTTCCAGTAGTCATGTATGGATGTGAGTGCTGGACTATAAAGAAAGCTGGGCGTTGAAGAATTGATGCTTTTGAACTGTGGGGTTGGAGAAAACTCTTGAGAGTCCCTGGGACTGCAAGGAGATCAAACCAGTCAATCCTAAAGGAAATAAGTCCTGAATATTCATTGGAAGGACTGATGTTGAAGCTGAAACTCCAATACTTTGGCCACCTGATGCAAAGAACTGACTCATTGGAAAAGACCCTGAAGCTGGGAAAGATTGAAAGCAGGAAGAGAAGGTACAACAGAAGATGAGATGGTTGGATGACATCACCGATTCAATGGACATGAGCTTGAGCAAGCTCTGGAAGTTGGTGATGGACAGGGAAGCCTGGCATGTTTCAGTCCATGGGGTTGCAAAGAGTCAGACACAACTGAGTGACTGAGACTGCTGTGGACTGCGGGCTGCCCGGGATCGGTGAAGGATCTCAAGATGGCTGGACGGAAACTTGCTCTAAAAACCATTGACTGGGTAGCTTTCGGGGAGATCATCCCTCGAAACCAGAAGGCCGTGGCTAACTCCTTGAAGTCCTGGAATGAGACCCTAACCTCCAGGTTGGCTGCTCTGCCCAAGAAGCCACCTGCCATCGACTGGGCTTACTACAAGGCCAACGGGGCAAAGGCTGGCTTGGTGGACGATTTTGAGAAGAAGTTTAATGCCCTGAAGGTTCCTATACCGGAGGATAAATACACTGCCCAGGTGGATGCTGAAGAAAAAGAAGATGTGAAAAGTTGTGCTGAGTTTTTGACTCAGTCAAAGACCAGGATTCAGGAATATGAGAAAGAGCTGGAGAAGATGAGGAACATAATTCCATTTGATCAGATGACCATTGAGGACTTGAATGAAGTCTTCCCAGAAACCAAATTAGACAAGAAGAAGTATCCCTACTGGCCTCACAGGCCAATTGAGAGCTTATAAGCTCGGGTTCGGGAGAAAGCTCTGGCCCTCGAATTACAAACTCTGGACATTGAAAACAATTACATGGTAAAAAAAAAAAAAAAAACAACTGAGTGACTGAACTGAACCAGGTCTCTGGGTTCCATTTTTAATGGAAGGTCTTTACGGAATGAAAAATAGAAGTTATTCATGAATAATCTGCCTTCTAGCATTTATTTTTAGGAGCCTGATTTAAAGGCAAAACTTCTGAAGCTGTCAGGAAGACTGGGAAAGAGCCTCCCAAATGCAATTTCCTCAGAATGGCCAAGGTTCAGCAATACTAGCATAGCAAATATCTGAATCTTACTGCATAGCAGTACTTCAATGAAATGAAAAGTCCACTGAGGAGAATGGCTACATGGAGCACCTTGGGAAGCTACACTGTATTTCCGGGGGACTCAAGATAAGCTGAGACATTCATGCACGAACTTGGCCAAAAAATTATAATATCCTTTTACTTTAAGAAATAAAGTAAAAGGCCTTTATAAGTAATAGTATCAGTTATGATCATGATAAACTGCTTACAAGTGAGCCCTTCCCAGTTTGTTTTCCTTTAAAAGGCTCTTAGATTTTTGGATTGGGGAGGAAAAAGGAAGAAAAGAGAGGGAGCCTCATTCTTCTCCACGGGCTCCCATAAGGACTTTATGTGAATCACCATCTTACCAGGTTGGGCAATTAGAAGTCAGATTTAACTTATCAGGAATAAGATAGTGGAGAACAAGATGGCGGAGGAGTAGGTGGACGTAGAGTACATCTCTCTCCACGGATGCATCAGGAACACACCTTCAGACACAGAGGTGCGTGCAGAACGGCAGCTGAGAGCAGACAGGAGGACCTGACCAGTGGGAAAGACCACACAGAACCACGCAAAACTCGGTAGCACCAAGGAGCTGCAGGGGGAATAGGAGTGTTAGTAGGACTGGACCTGACCTAGGTGGTGGGGGAACTGAAGCAAGGGTCCAATCCCCACATCAGGGCAATTGCCTGAATCAGAGAAGGAACATTTAAGGCTGAGGGAATCAGTTGATCTGTGGCAGCCTAAATGGAATGAGAATCAGACAGTCCTTGCCACAGCCATACATACATACCCCAGAAAGGGATGCAGGTCTCCTGGAAGGTGCAGCAGCTAGGGGCTGGAGTTTAGGGATTGTGGAGCAATCCCAGGGCGAGGGCTGCTGTTGACTGTGGAGAGACAAATTGAGGGAATGTGTGGGAGGAGACTGTGGTGGGAAATACCTCTGGAGGAAAGCCAGGCAGCCAGGGAAGCAAGGCGATACTGCTGAGTCACGCATAGGGGTGGAGCCATCACCACAGCCTCTCTCTCCCCAAAGGCCAGCATCCACAGCTGAACAATAGAGAGACTGGCCCATCAATCACCTGGTGCACTGAACTACAGAGTAGGACCCCAGCCAGGGCGGCCCCAATGTGTGCCTGACCTGGGGAACAACAGAGAAGGACCCCAAGCAAGGGAGCCCTCGAAGTGCCTCTAACGGGCGGAGCTACGGAGAAAGACAGGGCCAAGAGGTCTTCTGACTGCCAGCTACAAGAGGCTTAAAAATAGACTCTGATAGGGCCACAACTCCTGCGGGGGAGGCAGTCCATGTCCCTGCACACTTGGCGCCGCCAGGGTCCCCACAGCCCAGCAGCTGCACCACCTTCACACTCAACTATCACTGGGGCAGAGCTGCCACAGGCAAAGAATGCCTTGCATCTATGCACGCAGGGTTGCTTCGGTAGTGTCCGACTTTTTGCGACCCTGTAGACTGTGGCCTGCCAGGCTTCTCTGTCAGGGAGGGGGGTTCTCCAGGCAAGAACACTGGAGCGATATGGGCCAATACTGGTTGCCATACCCTTCTAGAGCACTCTATGTCCGGCTGCCCTAGCCACAAACTCCCCCGGGTACCTAGTGCTGCCAGACCCCTGTGACCCAAGCAGCTGCACCACCTCCACAGCTGGCCCTCACTAGGGCAGAGCCAAGTCCTCCAGGGCAGCCTCAGGAGCAAACCCCAGTGAACGACCCACATGCAGAGGTGGACACAAAACCACAACTGAAACTCAGGGGCAGTGTGGCTAAGGAAGAAGACCCACAACCTTCCCACCAGCTGTAAAAGCTGCAGATTAAATCCACACAATCAACTAGGCAGACTCTGAGTCTATGGAATATATAAAAGGTCATTGAGAGCTCGCACAAAAGAAAACGCACTAGTTCTGACAGCTGTGGACACTGGAGGCAAGAACACAGAGGAGAAGGACCAGATTAGAATCTGAGCTGCCCCCACAACAGTTCCAGAGATCAGCAGTGTTGGAGGGCATTCTAGGGAGGTGAGGTGGACTGTGACTTCCAGTGAGGGAAAGGACTCTGACAGCAGTGACTCAAGAAAAAATTTATTATTCTTATATTTTGACTTGTTCTGTAGAATCTTTTAGAATTTTTCTCTTTTTTTTCTTCCACCACTGCAGTTGTTGATTTTATTAGCACTATGAAATCTAATTAAGCCTTTGAACTTTTTTCCCCCTCAGTCACAATTTTTTATACTTGTTATAAACCTCTGCCTCTACGTTGGGCTTTTGCAGTTCTGTGGAGTTTTCCTTTTTTTTTTCCTTTTCGCTTTTTAAATTTTTTTTAACCTATTATTATTTTTTTCTACATTTATTGCTTTGTTTGCTTTTCCTACTGTTGTTTTCCCCCTTGGAGTTAATCTGTAATGTATATAAATCTTCTTTATCTACCTCTGTTTAACTGTGCATATCTATTCTTTCCTTTCTTTCTTTCCTTTCCTCTTAACATACTTGTTAGTTTTATTTTCATTGCTTTATTCACCACTTGGCACCTTGCTTTAGCTTCGTCATCCAGTTTGTCCTTCAGTTAGCTTTGTTCTGGTAGACACAACTTTTAGTTTCCTTTGTTCACAAGGTAAATCTATTATACTTTATTTTTGCTGGACTGTTTTCATTTTGCTTATGGGTATATATGTATATTGGAGAAGGAAATGGCAACCTACTCCAGGATTCTTGCCTGGAGAATCCTACGAACAGAGGAGCCTGGTGGGCTGCAGTTTGTGGAATCGCAAGATGTCTGTATTCAGTCACACTTTTTATTGTTGATATAAACCTCTGCCTCTACCTTGGACTTTTGCAATTCTGTGGAGTTTTTTTTTTCCTTTTTTCTTCCAGTTTTTCTTTTTTTTTTTCCATTTATTTTTATTAGTTGGAGGCTAATTACTTTACAACATTGCAGTGGTTTTTGTCATACATTGAAATGAATTAGCCATGGATTTACATGTATTCCCCATCCCAGTCCCCCCTCCCACCTCCCTCTCCACCCGATCCCTCTGGGTCTTTCTTCCATTTTTTCTTTTCTCCTTTTTGTAATTTTAATTTTTTTAAACCTGATGTATTTTTTTTCTACATTTATTCCTTTGTTTGCCTTTCCTACTGTTCTTTTCCCCTTGCAGTTAATCTTAAATGTATATAAATCTTTCATCATCTACCTCTATTTAACTTTGCATATCTATTCTTTCCTTCCTTTCCTCTCAACATATTTGTCAGTTTTATCTTCATTGCTTTATTCCTCACTTGGCACCTTGCTTTAGTTTTGTTTTCCAGTTTGTGCTTTAGTTAGTTTTGTTCTTAACTGGTAAATATAATTTTTTATTTCCTTTGTTCACTGTATCAATCTACTGTACTTTATTTTTGTTGGACTGTCTTGACTTTGCTCATATGTATATATGTATATGTGTATATTCCATTATTTTAATTAATATTTGCCTGATTTTGTAAGTGCCATTTGTCTGGGGTTCATCTTTGGTGTCTCGTTTTTGGATGTTTGTTTTAATCTCACTTAATGCCATAACAAACCACTTGGGGAATCTTTGTTCCTGACCAGAGATCAAGCCCTGAGCCTTTGGAGTGGGAGCACGGACCCTAGACTACCAGAGAACTAACCCTAGGGAGTATCAAATAGTGAGAACTCACACAAAGGAAACCACTTGAATACAAGACCCGGCGTCACCTAACCACTAGTAGCATCCTCTGCAGGACGCCTCATCTAAACAAAAATACAAACTCAATCAGCAGCAGACAGGATTACCACCTCTCTCAACCTTGCCCATCAGAGGAAAAACAAACAAAAACTCAGCACAAATCTCACCCTACATGAAGCTTACACAAACCACTGAACCAACCTTAGCAGAAACCAAAAGTAAGGAAGAACTCAACCCTGAAGTCTGGGAAAAAAAGACCTCAAGCACGGTAAGTTAAAAAAATAATGAAAAGGCAGAGAAATACTACACAAATGAAGGAACAAACTAGAAACACAGAAGTCCAAATAAATGAAGAGGAAATAGGCAAACTACCTGAAAAGGAATTGAGAATAATGATAAAGATGATCAAAAACCTTGAAAACAGAATGGAGAAAATGCAAGAGTTAATTAACAAAGATCTGTAAGAAATAAAGAATAAACATACAGAGACAAACAATACAATTACTGAAATTAAAAATACTCTAGCAGGAATCAATAGCAGAATATCCAAAGCAGAAGAATGAATCAGTGAGCTGGAAGATAAAATGGTGGAAATAATTTATGAAGAGCAGAATAAAGTAAAAAGAACGGAAAGAACTAAGGATAGTTTCAGAGACCTCTGGAAAATTATCAAACACACCAACATTCGAATCATAGGGGGTCCCAGAAGAAGAAGAGAAAAAGAAAGGGTATGAGGAAATTTTTGAGGAGATTATAGTTGAAAATTTCCCCAACATGGAAAAGGAAATAGTCAAGTCCAAGAGGCACAAGGAGTCCCACACAGGATAAACCCAAGGAGAAACATGCCAAGACACATACATACTAAATCAGACTAACAAAGACTGAACACAAAGAAAGAACATTAAAAGCAGCAAGGGAGAAGCAACAAGTAACATACAAGGGAAACCCCATGTGCTTAACTGCTGATCTTTCAGCAGAAACTCTGCAGGCCAGAAGAGA